CCTGCGTGTTCTCCCTGCTATCTACCACCCATTCGCCAGCTCGCCTTGGACCTCAGCATGCTGGAACCCGACAATTGGCACGACAGTGGTAAGTACCGTATATATGTGGGCTAACAGTATCATTAACTGGTCTTTCTTCTTTTAAACAACAGTGGGCCTGGTGGTTCTGTTCTTGACCTTTTCTCTCTCCACAATCTTCTCCAGAACGCTCGTTAATCACTTGCAAGGTTTAACTTCTATTTCTAGGCTGTAGACTCCTGACCCCGATCCTGAGCTGCCTCCCACACAGTCCTATATGGAAACTGTGCAAGCAAATTGAATTCAATGTGCCCCAAAGCAAACTGATTTTCTTGCTTCCTAATCCACTCCTTCCTCAGTATGGTATTCTCTACAGACAACAGCACCAGCCACCAGGCTCCCTCAGAGTCATCACTGTGCAATGGATTATTTTTATATCTTAGGAGGGAAAAGTAAGATATTCTGGAAGAGGGCCTATCCCAGAAGCCATGAGACCGGGGCCTGCCCTAAGAGGGAGGGGAAACCTGAGATTCCTATGAACCATCTGGACTAGATTTTAAACTAGAAGTGAGTGACTGCAAAATTATTTGACTGGACTCAGGTGTCAGTATGTTCCTCCTTACTCAGTGAAATGGAGAGGCTACAAAATTTAAGGCTGGGCCGGGCACAGTGCTCACGCCTGTAATAACAGCACTTTGGGAGGCCAAGGTGGGTGGATCAAGAGGTCATAAGATCGAGACCATCCTGGCAAAAATGATGAAACCCCATCATTACTAAAATAACAAAAATTAGCTGAGCATGGTGGTGCATGGTGGTGCATGCCTGCAATCCCAGCTACTCGGGAGGCTGAAGCAGGAAAATTGCTTGAACCCAGGAGGCGGAGGTTGCAGTGAGCCAAGATCGCGTCACCGAACTCCAGCCTGGCAACAGAGCAAGACTCTGTCTCCAGATGGATGGATGGATGGATAGATAGATAGATAGATAGATAGATAGATAGATGATAGATAGAAATTGTAAGGCTGGTGGAGATAGTAGAGGTTACAAAGGGAAAAACAAAATTGCAAGTCTGTATCTTCCTGAGTCTCTATTCCTCAGTCCAGCTCTCTACAGTTCAAAGGACGGCAGGGAATAGAAGGAAAGCAGGAAACCGAGAGAACTCATTGATTTTTACAAATGAAAAGTACCAGAAAATACTTCCTTCTAATAAGCTGCCACAAGAGATCTGGGGTACTGCTACACGAGCTAATAATACCAAAATAAGTGAGTTTAAATCTAATCCAGTCTTTAGATCCAAATACCAGTGTACAGGCGAAATACAGAAGAAAGTTACATTAAAGGCTTTCAAACTTTGTTATATATTAGAATCACTGCGGACCTTTAAAACATCCTAATGCCTTGGATACAATCAAGATCAATCAGGCCAGGGCAGTGGCTCACCCTGTAATCCCTGCACTTTGGGAGGCCAAGGTGGGTAGATCACCTGGGGTGAGGAGTTTGAGACCAGCCCATATGGTGAAACCCTGTCTCTACTGAAAATACAAAAATTAGCTGGGCACGGTGGTGCACACTCAGTTACTTGGGAGGCTGTGGCACAATAATTGCTTGAGCCTGGGAGGTGGAGGTTGCAATGAAAAAAAAAATCAATTAAATCCCCCTCTGGGGGTGGGACTCAGCATCAGTAAGTTTTAAAACTTTCTAGGTGATTCTAATGTGCAGCTGAGTTTGAGAACTAATCAGTTAAACATACTAAAAAGAAGCAATCAACCAAATCCAGAATGTGAGGCATTTTATAAAACAGGAGGTTCACGTTCTTCAACAAATAAATGGCATTTTTACTAAACGGAGTGGGAGGGAGTGGGAAATGTCACAGATTAGGAGACTAAACAGACTTATCAGACACAGGCAAATGGTGACCCGTATTCAGGAGTGGGAGGGAGTGGGAAATGTCACAGATTAGGACACTGAACAGACTTATCAGACACAGGCAAATGGTGACTTGTATTCAGGAGTGGGAGGGAGTGGGAAATGTCACAGATTAGGACACTGAACAGACTTATCAGACACAGGCAAATGGTGACCCGTATTCAGGAGTGGGAGGGAGTGGGAAATGTCACAGATTAGGAGACTAAACAGACTTATCAGACACAGGCAAATGGTGACCCGTATTCAGGAGTGGGAGGGAGTGGGAAATGTCACAGATTAGGAGACTAAACTGACTTATCAGACACAGGCAAATGGTGACCCGTATTCAGGAGTGGGAGGGAGTGGGAAATGTCACAGATTAGGAGACTAAACAGACTTATCAGACACAGGCAAATGGTGACCCGTATTCAGGAGTGGGAGGGAGTGGGAAATGTCACAGATTAGGACACTGAACAGACTTATCAGACACAGGCAAATGGTGACCCGTATTCAGGAGTGGGAGGGAGTGGGAAATGTCACAGATTAGGAGACTAAACAGACTTATCAGACACAGGCAAATGGTGACCCGTATTCAGGAGTGGGAGGGAGTGGGAAATGTCACAGATTAGGACACTGAACAGACTTATCAGACACAGGCAAATGGTGACCCGTATTCAGGAGTGGGAGGGAGTGGGAAATGTCACAGATTAGGAGACTAAACTGACTTATCAGACACAGGCAAATGGTGACCCGTATTCAGGAGTGGGAGGGAGTGGGAAATGTCACAGATTAGGAGACTAAACTGACTTATCAGACACAGGCAAATGGTGACCCGTATTCAGGAGTGGGAGGGAGTGGGAAATGTCACAGATTAGGAGACTGAACAGACTTATCAGACACAGGCAAATGGTGACCCGTATTCAGGAGTGGGAGGGAGTGGGAAATGTCACAGATTAGGACACTGAACAGACTTATCAGACACAGGCAAATGGTGACTCGTATTCAGGAGTGGGAGGGAGTGGGAAATGTCACAGATTAGGAGACTAAACAGACTTATCAGACACAGGCAAATGGTGACCCGTATTCAGGAGTGGGAGGGAGTGGGAAATGTCACAGATTAGGACACTGAACAGACTTATCAGACACAGGCAAATGGTGAACCATATTCGGACCCTACTGAAAAAAACACTGTAAAAAGACTTACAAACTGTAAAAATGTTTGAGACAATTACTTGAAAAACAATATAATGATATAGAGGAATTACTGTCAATTTTGTTGCATGTGATAATGATAATAGGGTTATATTAAGATAAAAGTCCCTATATATAAGAAATTAACACTGAGGTACGTGCACTTGTGAGTGAACTAAAATGTTTCCATCTGCAATTTGTTATAAAATGAAAGAGAGAGAAGGAGAGATGGAATGAAGAAAAAAAACGAAAGGGGGAGACTGAGGGAGGGAGGGAAATGAAAAGGAGCGACTGGGAAAGAAAGGAGAGAAGGAAAGAGGGAGGAAGTAAAATGGAAGGAGGGAGATGTGAGGGTGGAGGAAAAGGGAAGGAAAGGAGGGAAAAGAAGATGAAAGAAAATGACCACAAGATGATGGCTGAATCTGAGTCATGGGTATATTGGTATTCATTGTAATATTCTCTCTACAGTTAGATATGTTTAAATTTCTCCTCCAAATTTTAGAAAATTAAAGTCTACCTTCTTTCCTTCCTGAAAATACAGTCAGTAAGCATTAAGGTAGGGTCAAGGAAGGTGAGAGAGAGCCACAGCCCAACTCAGACTGAACCTGGAGCCCAAGTGGAATGGGGAGGGTGTACACGGGGCGGGGAGGGGAGAAAGTCTATGGCAGGAAAACAACACTGATACATTTTATCATTCATTCCACAGACTCCATTTAGGTTTCACTACCTGGCTCCTACTTGGATCTGAGCCAAACTGATCACAGTTGGGAGACACAAGACTGGGAAATCCGTTGCAAACATAAAGTATTTATCAAATCAGTAAATATACTAAAGATCAAGAAAGCAAAGTTTCTCATTATCAGAAAAGAGTTACAAGTCTAGAAAAGAGAGTTCACCCTGTAAAAGCTGGGTTGAAATAACGGTGTTAGTATGAAGCCAGTTTCAGGCTAGGATGCTGCTGGAAGCTCGGAAAGTGGTAGATCTCCAGCACTAAGCAGGACATCGGATTTCTGCTAAAACCGGGGTTCCTAATCCTTTTGCACTGTTAAAAACTTCTATTGTTCCTCCTAATCTGCAGCCAAGAAAATAGTACCCCTGAGTCTTAAAGCCTTTGGGAGTTTATCACCATGTACAACACAAACCAGTTTTGGTCTTTGCTTTGCAATAGGCTCTTTTTTAGAGTATCTTATTTTTCCCTCCTAAAATATAGAAATCATCCAACACGAAGTGAATTGATGAATGACACTAAAATTCAAAGCAACGGTAACATAAGTTAGTCACTAAAGATAATGCGTCATCCTAGGTATAAATAATAGTAGTATTAATAAAAGCAAATACTTTAAATCATGCTACTCGGCACCTTACACATATTAATGCACTCAATCCTCACAACAACCCAGTGATGTTAGGTAATATTATCCCCATTTTACAAAATAGTAAAAGGAGGCAGAGAGAGGTTAGGGACTAGTGAAAAATCACACAGCCAATAAGTGGCAGAGGCGGGATTCCAACCAGGTAATCTGACTCCAACCTTCGGGCTTTTGGCCAGTACCACGGAATAATTTAAAGACCCTGAAACTGACCTTGTCACCAGGCAGTGCAAACAATGTCACGGCTCCCATTTTCAAGGCTTGTCTATGTGACCCATGCATCCCGTCTGCAAAACACCCTGAGGATATCAGACCGAGACAGCCAGTAACGGCTCTAAACAAGGGACACCCACGGTGGGCTGTCCGCGGGGACGCGGAGCGCCACTTGGTCCCGCCGCAGAGCGCCCTTCCCCCGGCGGCTTCTCGCAGGGGTCTCCCTCCTCCGGAGCCGAGGCTGCAGGAACTGGGGAGGGAAGGGCCTCCCTCCTCAAACTCACACACACACACCTGCAAACGCACCTGTACCCGGGGACAAAAGAATGGCAGGACCCACAGCAGGAGAGCCCCAGAAGGAGGCTTAACCCCACGCTGGAAAGCGGACGCCCAGTCGGCGTCCCCTACTCACCCCATACTCACAAAGTGCCCGAAACTAGCGAACCACCCGCAGGGCGGGGCACAGAAGCCACTTCCGGGCCTCTCTAGCCAGGTCCCTGGCCGACTCTGTCGTTTGCGACCTCCGCACCTCGTGTCCCCTCCCCTTTTGCTATTAAAGAGACTTTAAAATTTTTATTTTACCAGCTATACCAAAGGGAGAAAGGCAAAGTGCAGAACTCATTCTGTAGTTTGCTATATTTGCGAATAGAAGAGGGTAAAAAGAATCTAAATTGTGTTTGCGTGCGTGGCACAAAAAAGCCAAGGAAAAATAAATTGGAAAATTAATAACGGTCGTCAGCTGTGTGAGGTTAACGGTAAGAAACTGAGAAGGACAAGAGTGAGAAGGAAAGCGTTATGGTGGATGTTTGAAATGTGCTTTTAGTTTTGGAGTTGATTGCATTACCTAATTAAAATATTAATTCTAAATATTTTTAAGGAGCACGCTGCCAGGTTTACATAGAAAATCAAAGACAATCTAACACGCAAATTATGTTAATTAATAAAAGAGTTTAGCAAGGTTGCTGAACTTTTTAAAATTCATATTCACAATCACATTTTCCATCAAAATTATAAAAGTATAATTTTTTAAAAACAGGTATTACAGAAGCAAAGAAATGCAAAACATACCTGAATAGAAACATTAGAAACTTTATTCATTAAGGATAGGCAGTTGAAATATACGCCAGGTCCATATATATGAGAACTCAGTATCATAAAGATATCATTCCTTCCTAAATTAATACACACATTCAGCACAAAGCACACCAAGATTCCAACTGTGCTCAGTGGAACTTCACTAGTGATTTTAAATTTATATGGAATAATAAAAGAGTGATGAATCCAAGACATTTTTTAAACAAACGAAGGAGCTGCAGAAACTTGCCCTATATAATTTATTACAAATTTATAGGAGCTAAGACAAAATAGTATTGGCACAACTGTAGACAGACCAATGAAAGAGAACTGAGGACTGAGCAACAAACATGTATGTTGGATGCTTGATATGGCAGAAATTGCACGACAAATCAGTGAAAGGAGCTACTTGATAAATAGTACCGGGATATTTGGATAGCTAAATGGGAAAATAAAATAAAATTGGGTTTCTACTTTAGATGTTGAACAAAAAAATCAATTCCAGCAAGCAAACTTTCACACTTTTAAAAGAAAATTTAGAATCATTCAAGGTTGTTAATGCAGCTCATAAGCTACTCCAACTCTTCTTTGATTTTAGTGGCCCCCAGGCACCCAAACTATGACAGTTCCATCAGCTCTCCAAATGAGGTAAGATAGAAGCCAGTCCGTTGGGCCACCCTCCAAAGAGCCAGAACACAGGATGCATGCTCCAATCTTTTCTTTCTCCTAAGGAAGTAGTCACGTGCCAGGGCATTCTCTCCTAGCTCTGAGCTGTGCCCACTTTGGGGAAGGGCTGACATGAGTCCCAGGCTTTGAAGTTTGTGTTCCCCCACAATTCTTAAGTTTAAACCTAGCCTCAAAGGTGACGGCACTAAAAGGTGAGGACTTGGGAGTGATTAGGTAATGAGAGTTCTGCCCTTATGACTGGGATTGGTACCCTTATAAGAAAAGGCTAGAGAGAGCCTATTTGCCCCATCTACCATAAGAGGACACATAGAAGGCACCATATCCATAAAGTAGAGAGAAGCGTTCAGTCTATGCCAAATCTGCACTGCCTTGACCTTGGACTTCTGAGCCTTCAGAACTGTGAGCAATGAGTTTCTGATGTTTATAAATTACTCAGTTTAAGGTATTTTGTTATAGCAGCCTGAATGGACTAAGGCATTGTGTAAAGCGAAATGGTACTTCTTACACATTTCGAAGTAGCTGTTTTGGCTTTAAGCTAACCCAGGGTACTGCAGCTTTTAAACTTGATTATGGAATCCTCATAAGGATATGTTGATTCATATACAATTGTTAATCAGTGTTTCTGTAGGGGAACAGGGCTAGTACTTTCTCTTCTGCCAACTTTCTGATGTCACTCCTAATCCAGAATTTTAAATCCAGTGGAATTGTTCTTCAAAAGTAAGAGTGAAATAAAGACGGTTTCTATTGAATGAAAGCTGAAAGTACTTCTCCATCAGACTTGCATCTGCACTGCAAACCAACAAACCTAACCAAAACCAAAACCAAACCCTAAAGAAAAATGAGAAACTTCAGGCTGAAGGGAAGTGACAGCTGGAAACTCAGATCTACAGGAAGAAATAAAGAGCATCAGAATGGTGAAAATGTATGTAAATATAAAAGCCTTGCTTTTTAGTTTATTTTCTTAAAAAACAAGTGATCATTTAAAGCAAAAATATTTTAAGCTGGCAGTTATAATGTGCAGGTAAGTAAGATATATAAGAATAGCACAACAAAAGATGTGTATATTAGTTTGTTTTCATGCTGCTATGAAGAAATATGCAAGGCTGGATAATTTATAAAGAAAGGGGGTTTAATTGACTCACAGTTCTGCATGGCTAGGGAGGCCTCAGGAAACACAATCATGGTGGAAGGAGAAGTAACATATCCTTCTTCACATGGCAACAGCAGAGAGAAGAAGAAGAACCAAGCAAAGGTGGAAGCCTCTTATAAAACTATCAGGTTTCATGAGACTTTACTATCATGAAAATAGCCTGGGGAAAACTGCCCCCATAATTCAATTACCTCCCATAGGGTGGCTCCCACCATATGTAGGGATTGTGGGAACTACAGTTTAAGATGAGATGTGGGCAGGGACACAGCCAAACCATATCATTCTTCCCCAGGCTCCTGCCAAATATCATGTCCTCACAATTTAAAACAAAATCATGCCTTTTCAACAGTTCCCTGTAAGTCTCAAGTCAACACGGCATTAACCCAAAAGTCCAAGTCCAAGGTCTCATCTGAGAGAAGGCAAGTCCCTTCTGCCTATGAGCGTGCAAGGTCAAAAGCAAGTTAGTTACGTCCTAGATGCTATGGGGGTACAAGCATTGAGTAAACAAACCCATTCCAAATGGGAAAAATTGGCCAAAACATAAGGGCTAAAGGCCCCATGCGAGTCCGAAATCCAATAGGGCAGTCATTAAAACTTCAAGTTCCAAAATGATCTCCTTTGACTCCACATCTCACATTCAGGTCACAGTGATGCAAGACCTGGGCTCCCATGGCCTTGGGCAGTTCCACCCTTGTGGCTTTGCAGGGTACAGCCCCCTCCCAGCTGCTTTCATGGGCTGGCCTTGAGTGTCTGCAGTTTTTCCAAGTGCAGGGTGCAAGCTGTCGGTGGATCCTACCATTCTGGGGCTGGAGGTTGGTGGCCCTCTTCTCACAGCTCCACTAGGCAGTGACCCAGTGGGGACTCTGGGTGGGGACCCCAAACTCACATTTCCCTTCTGCACTCTCCTAGCAGAGGTTCTCCATGAGGGCTCTACCCCTGCAGCAGACTTCTGTCTGAACATCCAGGCATTTCCATACATCCTCTGATATCTAGGTGAAGGTTCCCAAACCTCAATTCTTGTCTTCTGTGCACTCGCAGGCCCAACACTACATGAAAGCTGCCAAGGTTTGGGGCTTCCACCTTCTAAAGCAATGGACTGAGCTGTACCTTGACCCATTTTAGCCATGGCTAGAGTGGCTGGGGTGCAGGGCAGCAAGTCTTGAAGCTGCATACAGCAGGGGAACCCTGAACCCAGCCCAGAAAGTCGCCTTTCTCCTAGGCCTGAGACCGGCTTCTGTGAGGGTCTCTGACAAGCTCTGGAGGCAATTTCTCCATTGTCTTGGTGACTAGCATTTGGATCCTCATTACTTATGCAAATTTCTGCAGCCAGCTTGAATTTCTCCCTAGAAAATGGGGGTTTCTTTTTTATCATATATCAGGCTGCACACTTTCCAAACTTTTATGCTCTGCTTCCTTTTGAACACTTTGCTGCTTAGAAATTTCTTCCACCAGATACCCTAAATCAACTCTCTCAAGTTCAAAGTTCCACAGATATCAAGGTCAGGGCAAAATGCACCAGTCTCTTTGCACAGAAAGAGTGACCTTTACTCTAGTTCCCAAACAGTTCCTCATTTCCATCTGAGACCATCTCACCCTGGCCTTCGTGGTCCATATCCCTATCAGCAATTTGTTAAAGCCATTAAACAAGTCTCTAGGACGTTCCAAACTTTCCCACATTTTCCTTTCTTCTTCTGAGCTGTCCAAACTGTTCCAGCCTCTACCTGTTACCCAGTTCCAAAGTCACTTCCATATTTTCAGGTATCTTCAGAGCAGCACCCCACTATTTCCAGTGCTAATTTACTTATATTTGCTTTTTCTCATGCTGCTATAAAGAAATACCCAAGACTGGGTAATTTATAAAGAAAAGAGGTTTAATTGACTCAATTCTGCATGGTGGGGGAGGTCTCAGAAGACTTACAACGATGGCAGAAGGGGAAGCAACATGTTCTTCTTCACACCGTGGCAGGAGAGAGAAGAGAACAGAGTGAAGGGGGAGGTCCCTTATAAAACCTGATTTTGTGAGACCGTAGTATCATGAGAATAGTATGGGGAAAACTGCCCCGATGATTCAATTACCCCCCACTTGGGCCCCTCCCAGCACATGTGGGGATTATGGGAACTACAATTCAAGATGAGATTTGGTTAGGGACACAGCCAAACCATTATCAGTGGGCAAGAGCACAGGAATAATAGTGTTGTAAGTTTCTGTCTGTATTTGAAATGTAAAGTATTAAATATGAAATTAAGACTAAAATGGGAAGTGATACAATATTATTTCAAATTAGGCTATGATAAATTAAAGATGGGTATTGTAATTACCGTAATGGTCATCGGATTCCAATATACTTCAACTGCAGCACTTACTAATTCGGAAGTGGGTTTACTGCTAAGCCTATAAAGCATGAGTGATTCTACACTTGCATGTTTCTTCAAATACCCTGGCCTGGTATGATACCTAGCAATGTCTTTTACATGGTTCATATGCTTGTGAAATTTGAAGGGAAAAAAATGGATATTTTAGCAACAGGTGTTTAAACCACTGTTTTTGTTTGTTTGTTTGTTTTCATTTCTGATTCCCCATCTCTTATTTTTCTCTTACTGAGTGGCACTGAAATAGCAACAGGGAATTTTACCATCTGGTAAGGGGACACTATCTTAGAAATAAGTCACTTTAACTGCAATTTGAAAAGATATTTTGCTATGAGTTAAGCAATAAATGCTAAATTACAAAATAAAATTATTAAAGAACTGAGAGCAAATTTAAATTTAAAAATTAATGGAGGCTGGGTGTATTGGCTCGCCTGTAATCCCAGCACACTGGGAGGCCAAGATGGGCAGATCACCTGAGGTCAGCAGTTCAAGACCAGCCTGGCCAACATGGCAAAACCCCGTCTCTAGTAAAAATACAAAATTAGCCGGGCATGGTGGCACACACCTCTAATCTAAGCTACTCGAGGCACGAGAACTGCTTGAACCTGGGAGGCAGAGGATGCAGTGAGCCAAGATCGAGCCACGATACTCCATCCTAGGAAAGAGAACAAGACTCTTACCCTTCCCACTGGAAAAAAAAAATTAATGGAATGTGAGAAACAAAAGCAATAAAGCTAATAAAATCAATGGAAATTATTGAGACATCAGGAAGCAAATTATAGCAAAAGAAACAATGTCAAATTATCTGAAATCAGCAATTCCTTAAGAAAAAGAGCTAAACTTTGAATACAGTAAAAAACAAGCTCTTGGTCAATTATCTAATTAGTGAAGAAAGTGAATGACTGAACACATTGAAAAGAGATTTAAATTTCTTGTACATTTTACATAAAACACTGATATTGACAAAGACAACATAATATGCCATTGACTATGAGGACATCTAAGAGCAACTAGTTAATGTGTCATCAACACAGAGATTCTCAGATTAGTCCCCACACAAAAATTTTAGTGTCCTGAAATCTTATACTCATAATTGAAAGAAACTTGATAGACGTTTACTCATATGTCAATAACTTTAAAAAGCTTTTGATCAACCATGCTAGAGGAAAGGCCACATTAACTTTTTACTCGTTCTAGAAAAATTTCAATTATGAAATTAACACACAAAGAAGCAGTCCAAGATCATAAAGCCAACAAATAAGGGGAAAGTTACTATAGAGGTGTCAGGCAGGTGTCAATAAATAATGAAAATATTCTGCTATTTTTCTGATTTTTGTTTGTGATGTTTCAAAGACTTTAAAATATGTAGTATGGCCAGGTGTGGTGGCGGCGACTCACACCTGTAATCCCAGCACTTTGGGAGACAGAAGCAGGAGGATTGCCTGAGCCCATGAGTTTGAGGTTGCAGTCATCTATGATCACACCACTGCACCCCAGCTTGGGTGACAGAACAAGACCCTGTATTTTAAAAAAAATTGTAATATGTAATTTTTCATTCTTTTTTTTTTTGAGATGGGGTCTCACACTGTCACCCAGGCTGTAGTGCAGTACCACAATCTCAGCTCACTGCAACCTCTGCCTCCGGGGCTCTGTAATCCTCCCACCTCAGCCTTTCAAGTACCTAGGACCACAGGCATGGGCCACCATGCCTGGCTAATTTTTGTACTTTTAGTAGAAATGGGGTTTTGCCATGTTGCCCAGGCTGGCCTTGAACTCTTGAGCTCATGCAATCTGCCTGCCTCCGCCTCCTGATATGCCAGGATTAAAGGCATTAGCCACCATGCCCAGCCCATTTTCCATTCTAAATCTCAATTTTCTTTTTTTTTTTTTTTTTTGGTCTTTTTTTTTTTGGAGAGAGGGTCTCACTCTGTCACTCAGGCTGGAGTGCAGTGGCACGATCATGGTTACTGCAGCCACTGATTCTCCCTCCTCAGCCTCCCCAGTAGCTGAGACTAATAGCATGAGCCACTGTGCCTGGCTAATATTTTTTATTTTTTTGTAGAGACAAAGTCTCACTATGTCGTCCAGGCTGGTCTTGAACTCCTGGACTCAAGAGATCCTCCCACCCTGGCCTCTCAAAGTGTTGGGATTACAGGCGTGAGCCACCACACCTGACCTAAATATCCATTTTCATACCTATGTTTGTACCTGTAATTTTGAATTCCTTTTCTCAAATAGGGTCTATTGAATCGTATAAGCTGGATCTCCTTATGCCTGTATTCCTCTTTATATTATAAACCTCATGAGGGTGAGGACCTTGTGCTCTTCATAATTATTATATCCAGGAAAACTTTGGCACAAAAATTGGATTCAATGGGAATCTGTATAATGAAAAAAAAATGAGTTGTAAAAAATCAATTCAACCTCTTAATGTGTTATCTGTCTTCTCTATTTCTATTGCTACTGCCTTGATTCGGTCTCTCACTATCTCTACCCTGGATTCTTGTAGTAGTCTCCTAGCTGCTCTCCCTGCCTGTAGTCTCATTTCCTTACAGTCCATCCCCACATGGCTGCCAAGATAGCATTTCTAGAGGCAAATTTGATCAGATTGCTCAAATTCCTTGGTTAGGGATCCAAAAAAAGTAATAGCTGGTGGCCCTGCCGCATATTCCACTCTCCAGTCATGCTGATTAGCCCAGTTCTTTGGATGTACCAATCTCAACTCAGCACTGCTTTTGTACATTTGATTTCCTCTCCCAGAAATTTCTTTCCTTTGCGCCTTTTCCCGTGCACACTGGCAGATTCCTGCTGCTTCTTGTTTTGCCCCATTAGTTTTCCTCTTCTATCTTCCATGCCACGAATTCAATCTAATACATACATTTATTTTTTACATATGTACTTAGCATCTTCAATGTTCCAGAGACTTCTCATCGATTTACAAGCACTTATTTTACTTCATTTCACATGCCAGTTTTACCTACTTACTTGTTTACATGCCCTTCTAGACTTTTGAGATTCCAGAAGGCAGAGGTTTGAGAGTAAAAAACTAACAAAACTACAACAAAAACAACTCTGTATTCTCGTTTCCACCATTACCATCTCCCCACTGTGATGTCAGAGACCAGAAGAAGCGGACAGACTCGGGGAAGAACAGATACGTATTAGAGGTAGAGAACATATCAAGTCCCTTCTGTGAGGACGAACAACAGTGATGCCATCTTACAACCTTGATGACTGTGTTCTCCAGAAACAAAGCAAATGTCAGCCCAACCCACAGCTTCAACGGAGCCTAATGGCCCTCGTCACATCTGTCTCAAACTAAAGTCCCCAGACAGGCCCAACTAGCCAGCACTTCCCCGACCCCTCCCCAATAGAAACTTTGTTATAAAAGCCTCAGCCTGTAAGCCATCGATTCCTAACCGGGACTCTTCGCAGACTTATTCCTGAAAATAAACCTGTTTGGCCGTGGAGTTACCTCCTGTTTCTCGCTCTCTCTTCCTTTATATCTTCCTAACAACTTCCTGCTCTGTTCTGCGTCTCTACGACCATCTAACTCCTAAAGGCTGGGGGCCGCTCCCCACAGAAATCCCTCGCTGCATTTCTTCACCTCGCACCCAGTGCGGCTGGGATTTCTGGCCCGGGGTTTGCAATAAAGGAGTCACCAGGATGCAACCACCTCAGGAATTCCTAGAAAGGAAAGAGTTGCCTGGCTTGAGTCACTGGGCTCAGGACGGCTGACGCATTTCCGGCCTTTGCGGTGGTCATTGGGGTGCTGCAGCCCGGACAACTGTTCCGTAGCTTCCCGGTGCCCGGAAGGTGAGTCTCGGTACCGGTCGGAAGCCGCCGGTTCCGGGAATATTTCCGGTCTTTGCCTAAGAATAGGCGGGGACGGAACGTCTGCGCAGGCGTGGCCCCGCCCCTACACTGTCAGTGGCCGGAAGCCCCGGTGGAGTCAGGTGAAACAGGCTTTCCTTTTCCTAGATAACGCCCGGAGTCTTTGGTCCTACCTCCAAGACGATTAAGGAGCGCGGACACAAAGGTGAGGTTAGAGCGAAAGTTTAATAGGCGAAAGGAGAAAAATCTCTGCTAGCAGAGACGGGGTCCCGACCAGGACACTGTGGGGCCAGTTCTGGGGTTTTTGTGGACTGGAAAAGAGAAGGAATGTGCTTAGTCCGCGGGCTGTCTTGGCTAACGCTTGATTCAGCTTGACCCGGGAACCAATCAGGAGCTGAAATGATGATTCATAGATGCTGCTTAGCGTGGCCCAGGACCTATCAGAAGCTGCAGTGAAAGTTTGGCCCCGGACCAATCAGGAGCTGAGGTCCTGAATCACAGAACCCGGGCTTATAGACCTAATAAAGGACAGTAGAGCGCCCACCGGACCTACCAGGGCCCACCGTGCCCTTGCCCACAAAAGGAGAAGAAACTTTTCCTGGGAACCTGCTGACTATACAAAGGACAAAGGCGTTTCTGTGCCAAGCCTCGTTCCCTTATCTGAGTGAACTGGAGGCTATGTGCAAGTTTTTATCCAAATGGGCGGGAGGTTTTCGTATGTGTGCAGCTGGGCATATCTCTAGGCACAGCACCCTGTGCTAGTTCCCTTATCGGTGCCTGCAGCCTGAATTCTTTCCCACGCTTCGTTTTATGTTATGTGGGGATGAGGCACTGAGCCATGGGCCGGGGGCAGTCTTTCTCCCTTACCCCCTCCCCATCTTAGCTATCTACCTAAGGCAAGCTAAGTCCTAACACAGTGGTGGGAGAGATCCCTAGAGAGGGTGGAGCTTTGAGGTGGAAAACGCAGAGATGGACCTCGCTCCCTGTCAAAAGCCTTATTTCCTAAATACTCATAACTTTTATTTAACGAGTCAACATTATGGAATGTTTATCGCATATGTTTTTTAAATATTGTAAAATAAATCACAAACATCATAACTTGTCACCTCTAGTTTCTAATGCATCTCTAAAAATTAAGGCCATTTCCCTACGTAACCACAATATTATTAGCACACCCAACTAAGTGTAGGTGCTTCACCTAACACCTAGTTCATGTTTAAATCCTTCCACCTCCTGTTGTCCCACAGATGTCTTTTACACCTGTTTGTACCAACTAGGATCCAATCATAGACCACTCACTGCATGTAGTTGTAAGTCTTAATCTAGAGCAATTTTACCCTTTGCCTCCCTTCCTCCCATCCGGTTGCCTTGTTGAAAAGCAGGCTCCTCCAGTCATCCTACAGAGCATCCCCATTTCTGTATTTGACTGTTTGCTCACGGTATTTAAGTTCTGCCTCATTTTCTTGTCATCGTAATTGGTTATCCTTTGGGATTTATTTTACAACACAGGTGATTTATGATTTACATGATTTCTTTGTTGCTGTTGCTTATTATGCTAACATGAATGAAAACATTCTCTTTTACGCTGTTTCTACCATGTTTTTGTTTCAGTGAAGGACAATGGGGACACATCAAACTGCACTGTTTCACTCTTTGCTGTATGACACATAATAGACACTTAGTGAAATGAATTCCATTGTGGATTACAGGTAATGCATAGAAACTTAATCTTGTATTTAGGATGAGCTCTCTCACTTCCTCCAGGAGTATACCTTGTACACATTTTTTAAAATACAGCTTATATTTAATTGTATTGGAATTATATCCTCATGAGCTATAAACACCTGTGTGTTCCCAACTCTTAGCACAGCTCCATAAATTGTCCAGTGACTGTACTGCTTTTACAAAGGTTAAGCTGTTTCTTCTTGCTTCTGTACAGTAACATCTAAACTAAGTGGAAGTCTTTCCAGATTGAGTGCAATAGCCTTCACACCTTCCACGTGACCCTTTTTTCAACTCTTGACTCTTCTGCTTCTGCTCTTCCATTTCTGCTTCCACTCTTGCCTCTACCCTCATTCCCTCAGCTCATTCTCCATCCAGTAGCAGAGCTCCTCTCTACATAATTCAGCCTGTCACTTCCTTTCTTTTTTTTTAATTATTAGTGCTGTTTTATTTTTTTTTATTTTTTATTTTTTAAATTTTTTATTGGATTTTAGGTTTTGGGGTACATGAGCAGAGCATGCAAGACAGTTGCGTAGGTACACACATGGCAGTGTGCTTTGCTTTTCTTCTCCCCTTCACCCACATTTGGCATTTCTCCCCAGGCTATCCCTCCCCACCTCCCCCTCCCACTGGCCCTCCCCTTTTCCCCCCAATAGACCCCAGTGTTTAGTACTCCCCTTTCTGTGTCCATGTGTTCTCATTTTTCATCACCCACCTATGAGTGAGAATATGCGGTGTTTCATTTTCTGTTCTTGTGTCAGTTTGCTGAGGATGATGTTCTCCAGATTGATCCATGTCCCTACAAACGACACAAACTCATCATTTCTGATTGCTGCATAATATTCCATGGTGTATATGTGCCACATTTTTCCCACTTCCTTTCTTTAAAGCCTCCAGTGGTTTCTTTATTACATTTATACAATTCTAACTCCTATGCTGTACATGATCTGACTCCTGCTTGTCTTGCCAGCCTAATATTTTGCCACTCTTCTCCCACATGACTGCAGACACTCCAGCCTCCTTTCCTGTCTTTGATGGCAGGATGCACTTCCTAAGGACCTTTGGATAGTCCAGAGTGCTCTTCCCCTCCCTCATCCCTACTCTGCATGGCTCACTTCTTTTGCACGTAAGCGCTCAGCTTAAGTGTCACCTCACCTTCCACCACCCCCTCTAAATAGGCTGTCGGTTTATTTGGTAACTCAGTGCCTCATTTATTCTCCTCATAGTAATCATCGCAACTTGTAATTATTTTATTTACCTCCTTACTTATTTTTCTTGTTGCTCTTATTTTCAGTATGTCTTCCCTGTTAAAATGTACGCTCCAGCCTGGTCTTGTCTTTTTCACCATTGGAGCCCTAGTGCCCAGCCAAGTACCTGGTATGTTAGGGTTGCTCAATGAACACTTATTGACTAAATAAGTGAATAAATGGGTCAGTTACTAGTAATGAGTCTCTCCTTGCCCCTTGTCTCCTGGGCCTTAGTTGCTAATAAAGTCATAAGTTGAGTCAGCTGTCAACTGCCCTTTATTTTTCTGTCCCCCTTTCATGAGTGTGGAAGTCCACTGCAGGCCCTGGCATGAACAGTCAGCCTGCTTCCCTCCAACCTGAGACACAGCACATTTAATCCCCCAGGAGTTGAATTCTAGGATGTCTTTGTTCCTTCAGTCAAGTCAGTTAGCCCACAGCATCAGCTCACTAACTACTCTGCGTTTGTTTCTGGTCCACTGGGATCTTCGTCTTGTCGTTCTCTTTATCACCTTTTATATATCATCTCCCAATGCCAAATGTTTGGAGTCAATTGGTAATCATAAATTGGCCTGTATCATGTCACCCTGGAAATCTGAATCCAATCTTTAATGTGTTGCTTTTGAGCTGCTGTTGGGATGTTCAGGGGGGTACCCTAGAGATGGGCTTCAGCACACAACTGGGAGGTCACCACTGGGCAGTCTGTCCTGGATTTTCTTGAATATTTCTTCTAATATTTTCAGCTGTCTACTGAGTATTAATACATGAAGTAAATATTTTATTTTTGTTGGGTCTATTTCCGCTATGAAATGAAGATATGCAATTTACTAATACTGCTTTACTAATAATACCTGCTGTTTGATATTTATGTAATAATTGCTGTGTGCCAGGTACTGTGCTAAGCTTTTATATGCATTACCTTATATAATCACAACACCTGCAAGAGGAGTACTGTGGTCATTATCACTTTAGAGAGGCCCCAGGATTTGAACATTATTCACTGTACTACAGTGCTTCACCAAAGATGAGCTTAAATAGCTCATTCCATTTAATTCATCAGATGTCTATCAAGTACTTGTTCCCTGCTAGGATATCGGATGACACCAAAGTTGCATATAATAGAATAAATCAGGTAAACAATACATGAAGATGATTTCATAATTTTGTGGCAAGTCCAGGTCTGTAAGTCTTCTAGGCATTTTAAAAATAAGAAGTGTCTGTAATGTGTAGCAGTTTGGGAGAGAAGATAGGAAGAGGTGGGAGGACTGGCTGGGAACATAGGGTAATGCGTATACATCCTGGGAATGGGTGGTTTGGGGGATAAGAAGAAAGAATATATTTTCCCTTCCATGTTCCCTTCTCTGTCCTTACCATAGCTTGAGGAAGTGAAGGGGAATATAGTAGGGGAATATGTATTTATTTATCCAGAAAATGTTTATGGAGCACTGACAGGCACTGTTCTAGGCATTAGGGATAAAGACAGTTCATGACGGTATAAGACCAGGAGGTAAATCCTAAGCACCAATTGTGGGGAGAACTGATGGAGGAATATTCCAGCTGTGGCTTTGTGTATGTGAGAGATTGCCTGTAGCGATCCAGAAAGCAAAACAAAAAACAAAACAAAAAAAGCCAACCCCATCTCCACGGTTTCTCAATAGCATTAAAGTGCAGAACCCATATTTGCAGAACAATTTTTGCCTATAAACCTAAGGTCATGAGGAGCTACGTGTTTAATGATAATGGAATCCAGTGCAAATTCATAATTAGAGATTTTCAGACTTCCAGTCTTCCTGCACTGAAGACAACAAACCCAGTCACCAGATGCTACAGTAAGGAGTAAAACGATAAATATTTGGCCTTGGACATTGACAAAGAGTAAATGCCACGATACTCTTCATATCCTTAATTCTGTAATGTAATTTTATGTGAATTGTCTTTCCCATGGTAAATACCATAAAGGTAGGGACCTTTCACCATTTTGAACTAAGCACCTCACACTATTCCGGACACCTAATAGACACGTAATATTCGAATGAATGGAATAAATGCATTTTCACCCAATAAAGTATAACTGAAGAACTTCCAAGTGCTCTCAGACCTTAATAATTCCATTAGCCTTGGGGAAAACGATGTAAGACTTAAATTACACCACAAAAGTCAGCACTGATGGTGTCAGGGTAACTACCATTAACCTCCCACTTAAGCAGCCACGACCCTGCAGCATACTCTTACCATTCCGTCCTGAACCTTACTCCGTGTTTTCTTTAATACAGACCTAACGCTATGGCATAAAATGAAAGCCTCAGTGCCTCTCAGTTTTCCATGAAGTCTAAGGTCTTAGCCTAGAGCTGAAAGCCATTTTCTATCCCCTATAACACATCTGTCTAACTTCATCTCCTCTCACATTTTTACCCACACCCCATATGCTATAGTTCAGCTTTGCCTGTCCTTATTGCCATTGTGTGTGCCCGTAAATTCCTTTCTTCAGGTTGTTTGCTTGATTTATGATGCCAGATCCCTTCATCTTCCTCAAAAAATCCTGTTCATGATTTTAGCCTAATTCAAATGTACTTTCCCCTAAGTCATATTCTTTGAATGCTCTATACCCAGTCAGAAATTCTTTTTTCTATTCTTTACTCCCTGAATATTCTGTTGATGCTCCTATTATAGCATTCGTCATTTGATATTATAGCTAGTTTTATATATCCTGTTCTCCTCCTAGAGCTACTATATACACATATTGACCAGGCTCTCAAATCACTTCTACAGACCAAACAGCCCTTATATGAAATGCCTGAGACCAGAGTTTGTTGGCTTTCCGCTTTTCTGGATTTTGGAATAGTTGTGTTATACTTAACAGTTGAACATGCCTCATCTGAAAATCTGAAACATGAAATGCTCCAATGAGCATTTCCTTTTAGCATCATGTCTGTGGTCAAAAAGTAAATACCTCTTGTTATTTTTATTCTGCAGTTACCTAATTCTCCTTCCCAGAGGTTCACCCTTGTATATTAGTTATCTGTTGCCACAATAATGTGGTATAACAGATAGCCACAAAACATTGGTGGCATATAGTGATAAACTTTTGTTTAGCACATGAGTATATGGGGCACAGCTCACGTGGGGTGGGCAGGCCCTACTTACACGTCTGCAGTCAGCAGCTCTGCAGATCTCAGGCTAGGCCTACATGTTTGGCAGTTAGCTGGCTGTCAGCCACTCTGGGATGGTCTCATCTGCCCCACTGGGTGATCTGGCTCTGTCCTGTATGTCTCGCATCATCTGAAGGATATCCTTCTTCTGGCAGTTTCAGAGGGCAACAGTAAGCAAGCCCAGTCACACAAGTACTGTTCAAACCCAACCCCCTCCTTAACTGCCACTTCTTCATTTCTAGTACTTGTCTGTTTGACATGGATCTATTTCTATCCTATGGTTATATTATCTAATAAAGGAAAGAGACGACATTGTTGGTCCATTTATTATTCGAGATGGTGAAAGTATACCTGAGAAACAGGAATTGGCATCAGAGCAAGAACTCTTAAAAGAGATGGAACATTTGGGGTATAGCAGACTCCAAAGAGATGTATCTTTGGCTACAGAGAAACTTATAAACAAGAGCAGAGCAGAAAAGCAGCAGGGACATCCCACTGGAGAGAGACGCCACAGGTGCAATGAATGTGGGAAAAGCTTCACTAAGAGTTTAGTACTAGTTCAGTACCAGCGAATGCATCACATTTGCTAATATAATTAGCCAAATCAAGTCATATTGTTGAATCCAGTGTCACCAAGGAAGGGCACTGCAAAATATTAATACATGGCTATAGGGAAGGGGGAAGAATTGAGGCCATTAACATACTCTGCCATAGCCTTTTCCCCGTTGCTAAACATGTAAGTCAGTATATATACGTATTATTAACATAAATGACAGAATGCCGTGCGTGTTTCCATACTTTGCTTGTTTCCCCACTGCTTTATGATTTATTTCCATTAATACATAATCCTCTATCATCAGGTGTCTTCTCCTAAGGAAGATTAAATCAGAAAACTTTAAATCACAGTTATCCTTTCACCTCAAGCCAGAGCAAGCCTTTTAAATTAGTCCCAGGAATGGCTTCAACAGAGGAACAGTACGAACTGAAGATTGTGAAGGTGGAAGAAGACCCTTTCTGGGACCAAGAAACCTACCTTCGAGTGAACAACTTTTCTGGCCAAGAAGCCTCTCGACAACTTTTTAGGCAGTTTTGTTATCAAGAGACTCTTGGTCCCCGAGAAGCTCTGAGCCGGCTCCGAGAACTCTGTCATCAGTGGCTGAGGCCAGAAATCCACACCAAAGAGCAAATCTTGGAGCTGCTGGTGCTAGAGCAGTTCCTGACCATCCTGCCTGCGGAGCTCCAGGCCTGGGTACGGGAGCACCATCCAGAGAGTGGGGAGGAGGCTGTTGCTGTAGTTGAAGATTTGGAACAAGAGCTTAGTGAGCCAGGGAACCAGGTAAGAGGAAGAAGATGGACTTCTAAACATTAAATACTAAATGAAAGGTGGGGTTCGGTGACATGTGTTGGCTGGCTATAGCCACATGTATTGGTTCTCTGTTGTGTAACAAATGACCCCTAAACCTTAATGGCCAAGGCTGCAGTCATCTGACATAACTCAGGTGGGTGGATCCACTTCCAAGGTGGTTCACCGGTACGATTGTTAGTAGGGGGCCTCAGCTGCTCACTGGCTGTTCCAGGAGGTCTTAGTTCTTTGCTATGTTGGTACTCTTCATAGGGCTGCTTGAGTGCCCTCACAACATGTCAGCTGGCTTCTTTTGGGTAGAAAGAGAGAGAAAGGAAAAAGCCGCAGTGTTTTTTATGACTCAGAAGTTACATACCATCTCTTCTGCCTCACTTTCTATTCAGTAGACTTGAGCTATGAAGTACAGTTTGCATTTGGGGGCAGGGGGTAGTTAGATTCTACCTGATTGGGTTTATGTTAAACCACCACACTAGATTAGGCCACTTTTCCCTGTTTTGCTTTTGGGTATGGAATTAAACTCTGGTCCTTCCACTATGACAACTCTCTAGAAAATGTTTCCTATGGTTCCATGTGATGTCTTTCATTAGCATGAGCTTGGACTCCTATAATCCCCTCTTATGAACCAAACATGCCTGCTGCCTTCAGGATCCAGATAATGAACGTGGACGTTCAGAGGATGTGGAGCATCTGAAGATCAAGCAGGAACCAGCAGACGTCCAGGTTCAGCCTACGGTGACACAGCTCAAATGTGAATCTTTTCACCTCCACCAATTTCGAGAACAAGGTAAGGACTTTGACAGGTCCATTAAGGAAATATCTGGTGGGTCTATACAGGGTAGTAGTTAAGACTGTGGACTCTGGGGCCATATTGTCTGGGTTGGGATTTAAATACTCCTATTTAATAGCGTTGTGACAATGGACAAATGACAGATCTGGTAACCTCCCTGTACCTTCCGTTTCTGCATATTTGAAGTGGGGTAATCATAGCGCATCAGTTACAGAATCACTGAGTATTTGATAAGGTAACATGTAAAACACTTAGAACAGCGCCTGCCTTGCAGCGAGTATAACGTAGTGCCCGCTGATGTACGTCCTCTCTGGGAGCCTCTGGGTGCTCCCTCCAGCCTTTCAGCAGTACTGATAGCTGCTTACTTGACGAGCCTAAACATCCCTGTTAAACCCAATCCCCCCCAACTGCCAGTTCTTCATTCCTAGCACATGTCTGTTTGATATGGACCTTTCTATTTCCACCCCATGATTATATCCTTTAATAAAGGAAAGAGATGACATTGTTTGGTCCATTTATTATTCCAGATGGTGAAAGTATACCTGAGAACCAGAAGCTGGCATCAGAGCAAGAAATCTTAAAAGAAATGGAACATTTGAGGGATAGCAGACTCCAAAGAGATGTATCTTTGGATTCTAAGCACAGAGAAACTTGTAAACAAGACTGCAGGGCAGAAAAGCAGCAGGAACATTCCGCTGGAGAGAGACGCCACAGGTGCAATGAATGTGGTAAAAGCTTCACTAAGAGTTCAGTACTCACTGAGCACCAGAGAATCCACACTGGGGAGAAGCCATACGAATGTGAAGAATGTGGGAAGGCTTTTAGCCGGAGGTCAAGCTTGAATGAACATCGGCGGAGCCACACTGGAGAGAAACCCTACCAATGTAAGGAGTGTGGGAAAGCCTTCAGTGCCAGCAATGGCCTCACTAGACACAGAAGAATCCACACAGGGGAAAAACCGTATGAATGCAAAGTGTGTGGGAAGGCTTTCCTCCTCAGCTCATGCCTTGTCCAGCATCAGAGGATACACACTGGAGAGAAGCGCTATCGGTGTAATCAGTGTGGCAAAGCCTTCATTCAGAACGCAGGGCTTTTCCAGCATCTCCGAGTCCACACTGGCGAGAAACCGCATCAGTGCAGTCAGTGCAGTAAAATCTTTAGTAAGAAGGCACTTCTTATGAAACATCAGAGAATCCACACGGGAGAGAGACCATGAGTGTGATGAGTGTGGGAAAGCCTTCGGTCGTCATTGCAACCTTATTAGGCATTTTGGAATCCATACTGTTCCAGCAGAACTGGACTAATTCTGCAGACCCTCGGACCCCTAAATGGGACCATCTTGGAAAGAAGAGTTTCGGGTGGCTTATTCTGTTCCTGTAAGATTTATTTTTGCCTTGCAGTGAATCACTTGTCTACAAACCAGGTGCTGGTGTCTCCACTGTGGATGACTGATTGTAGGGGTCGCTGGGTGGCCTTCTTATTCCCTATACTTTGGTTTGTTTGTAATGATTTCTTTTAAAGGGACCAAATCTTATTGGAAATAAATTGTTAGGGAGGGCCTGTTTTTGATTAATACTGAATATTGAACAATTAAGATCAGTATATTTGTATACTTTTTAAAAAAGATTGGCTAAGATCAAAGGGTATTCAGAGGTGCATCTTTTTCTGTAAGAGTAACATTTTAAACAAACTCAAGATTTTTGGGTATAAGAATCACCCACATTCCCAAAGGAAATGATTGCTATGGTCTCCCCTAGGAATGGGATAGAAATGCTTCTGTAAGCAGCATTATCCATGGTATGAAACCTGCAGTTTTAATGGTTTAGAAATCTATGTCTCATTTCATATCTAACTCATGTTTTTGATATGAATCCTCAAAATATGTTGATATCATGTTAATATGAGTTAGATATGAATCATCAACATAGTGTATCAAAATCTCAATGCAGGTCATTACTGTAGGTTTTCCATTTTTGTTGCAAATAAGTAAGATGATATTTAAAACTCTCTATTCCTTAGAGGGTGCCTCTTTAATTCATAGCCTTTATGTCAGCATTGTTCTTATTTTAGGGGTTGGTCAGCAACTCTGAGTGCCACTGCAAGCAGCATCATTGAAGTGGTTCTGTAAGGAAAAGAAGTCTGATAGCTTGGGCAGCGTGCTACTTACTGGGGAGACCAGCATGCGCAAACATTTATTGTCAGGGTTTAACATGTGCTCTGGCACCAAGTTCAAATCCCACCTCCCCGTTTGTGAGCTGTGGGACTGTAGGCAACTTATCTAATTGCCACTGTGCTGTCATCTCCCCATTTGTAAAACAGGATGATACCAGTACCATCCTCATTAGGTGCGTAAGATTAAATAGACACAAACATGGAAAGCACTTAAAATGTAGCTCTTAATAAATGTGCATTATATTTTACATAAGAAATAATACCATTTAACAAATGTAGGTAGAATTTTAAGTATCATGTTAAAATTAGGATATGAAATGCCTCTGCTGACATTCTTGTTATTCTTTTCTCCACAGTCAAAATCTGAATCAGAATATTTCAAAAGAGAGGAAATAAAAGTTCAGCTTAAAACTATTCTGCCCTAAACCTTTGTCTTTGAAGTTAATTTTTAAAGTGTTAAAGAATACATAAATATGTGTGTGCATTTTTTTCCCTGTGGCTTAGGAACCATAAACAATTCTTTAAAAGTCACTTACTGTTTTATTTGTCAATAGCACAATTAGCAATTAGCTGAATTCAAATCTCCTGGAATAGTGTTTATGAAATTTCATAATACCTACAAATCACTTGAGATCTTGTTAAAATGCAGATTCCTAATGTAAAAGGTCAGAAGGGGCCCATGAGTCCGCATTTTAAATGAGCAATGCACTCCTAGATGCCTCAGATGCTGCTGATTGATGCAGTGCACTTTGAGTATCAAGGTCCTGGACTACCCTGAGGATTAGTGTGGTCCTTTTAATATGCCTGATGCATCAAGCAAAGAGTAGCTTACTCTCCATCCTTCCACTTGCAACCTCTCCACCAGTACATAGTCCCTGAACCTGTGCTCCCTCACTGACCCACTGCCTGTCCCACCCTGAGAGGACTGAGGTGCCTGTGAAGTGCAATGGGCAGGTGGCTTGAGGTGAGTGTGTAGAGCAAGGCTGTGTCCTCTGCTCTGGAATAGGCAAATACAGCCAAGTCTTTACCCAGGCAGTGTAAACAGGACCATAAATGTTTACTCTAGGAAAAAGCTACTTCTATAGAGCTTCTGTTCCTCTTGCCTGAGCTCGCAGGGCAAAAGGAAGGGGGCTGTTTGTGGTATGTTTATGAATACCATGCGTACCTGCCAGTCCACACCCCCAGACCATTCTTGGGCTCTCTGAACTGCTTGGGCCACAGGAACAAGGTTTCAGCTAAGGTGCTATGGCATGCCACACTTACTTTCAACACTGAAGCCTGGCATGGTCCATCTGTGACTCCGACCCCAGTGCTCAGACAGTCCTGTTCTCTCTCATCTACTCAGAAAAATAAAGTAAAGCTGACGGAGGAGAAAGCCACAGAACAGGATAAAAGGGTAAAGGAGGAACACTAAGGGAATGAAGGACATCCCAAATGCATAGGAGAGGAGGGGGAGAGACAGGAAAGTACAAAGGGCCCAACAGGCATGCCTGTAAGAAGAAAATTGAAGGGAGAATGTGGGAATGTTTCTGGTTTTGGGGTTTTTTTTTTCTTCTTCTTCTTTTCCAGATTCTGTTTCCCTGATCTGGTCCAAAGTGTTGTAGTAGCTGATGCCACTACTTCCTGCTTTGGCCTCACTGACAGTAACAAGAAGGATGTTCAGTGTCCTATGTGGTTACCAAGTGGTACAGCTCATATGGAAAAGGAAGGATAAAGGCTTGTTTCTCATTATTTACCTGTTTTCAAAATACTTGGTTCCCTAGCATTCTCCAATGGCGACCAATTTTTATGTGTGTTTTTAAGAATAATTAATTAATAATTAATTAATAATTAAGACTCATGGATAAAAACACACTTGAAGTATTTCAACTCACTGCTGTCATTATCTTAACTGGTGCTCAAACTTTCCTGTCTTCAAGTGGGAAGGTCTTCAACTTGACAACTGAATATTTCTGACTCAAGACGCTAGCTTTATGGTACGACAAGACATTTCAGGCTCATGCCATACATTTCTTGCCTCCGATCTGGATTCAGCCCCTTCTCCCAGGAATCCTGATTTCTTTTGGGGGAATTGGAATTTCAAGATGACAAATTGGGTGCTAGCAAAGTCTCACTGCTTAGCTGATTATTGTTTCCAAGCCTTTTCAGTAAAAAGATCTAGGAGAAGGGCCAGGCGCAGTGGCTCACGCCTGTAATCCCAGCACTTTGGGAGGCCGAGGTGGGTGGATCACGAGGTCAAGAGATCAAGACCATCCTGGTCAACATGGTGAAACCTTGTCTCTACTAAAAATACAAAAAATTAGCTGGGCACGGTGGTGCGTGCCTGTAGTCTCAACTACTCGGGAGACTGAGGCAGGAGAATTGCCTGAACCCAGGAGGCGGAGGTTGCGGTAAGCTGAGATCATGCCATTGTACTCCAGCCTGGGTAACGAGCAAAACTCCATCTCAAAAAAAAAAAAAAAAAAAAAAGAAAGAAAGAAAGATCTAGGAGATATATATAATGCCTGTTTGTTTTTTATTTCTAATTCAGAATTACAGGGCTTTTACTTCTCTTTACATTTGTATCTCCTCTTGTATTATTATCATCTCTGGTTGCAGAGCCTGTTCAGTCCTTCAATCCTTTTGTAGTTTAGATTTTGCAATGTTTTCTTGGTGTTTTTGTCTGGTTTTCTGCTGGACATTTTAACTTTTCCTTATCAGAGGGTATAAATTTGTTATATTTTAGATATTAATCCCTTGTTGTATGTGTGTATGTGTATTTACATATAGAATACGTGTATATATACATGAATATAATTTTATTTAAAAAAAAATAGGTCTACTCCTGAAGATAAGATGCTGAATGGGAATCTTCCTGAATCCCAAATTATAGGCAGAGTGAACCTGCTACAAATGTTTAAGGCTCAAACTATCTGGAGAACAAGAGAAGTCCTAGTGGTGGCCATGCTACGTCCCTGAGGTACAGAAAACAGCTATGCATGTCGAAGTGGAAAAAATGGCCGTGTGTACTTCTTTAACATGACAGCTTGCCCAGCCTATTTTCTGTCCTTTCTTATCACAAAATTCTTACTGCCTGCTCCTGGTTCACACTAGTCATTAGACATGGAATCAGGAACACAGACTTCCAGGAAATAGTCTTTCATATCATGAAATCTGCAGATGACACTTCAGGCACCTCTGCTACCAGGATTCCCCTGGGCCTTGAGTGACTCTCAGCCACCTCTGGAGAATCTACCAACAGGAAGTGCAGCCAGAGTACCACAACAGAGAGATTCCAAAGCTTCTGGTGCTGGAGCAGTTCTTGACCATCCTGCCTGAGAAGATCTAGGCCTCAATGAGAGAGCATCGTCCAGAAACTGGAGAAGAGGCTGTGAGCTGCTTGGCTATGTAGAACAGAAGCACTGACGGATCAAGATAACAGGAGAGAAGGTAGAAGATTTGGAGGTATAAAGCCAGAATGAGGGGCACTGACAGATTGGTGGTAAGGAGACTATTTCTGAGAAACTTCAGTCTCTAATGAGCCAAGCTGAAGTTATTAGTTATTTGCATTTTTCTTTTCAACTTTCAAATATCAACCTTGCAGCCCTTGAATGGTCTAATGAAACACTGATTTTTCTACATCCTGAAAATCTCTTCTCTAAGGATTTAGCTCTTATTCTCATAATAATTTGTGCAGAAACCTACTGATTCAAGGTCCAGCCTGTCTCCATTAAAAGAACATAATCTTGAAGGAAAATTACTTTTGAGGGCACTGAAGGCACCCTTAGTCATCCAGCTGCAGCCCATAAAGACCCAGGTAAATGAGCACCTTTCAAAAGACTGGTGAGAAGCAGAGTTTCTTCTGAGATGGAAGTATTGCCAACTAGAGACACAGAAGTAATCTTTGGTCCCATTTTTAATTCATTTCCCCTTTCATTAAAACTCTACTTGGCCAGGCATGGTGGCTCACACCTGTAAACCCAGCACTTTGGGAGGCCGAGGTGGGCAGATCACCTGAAGTCAGGAGTTTGAGACCAGCCTGACCAATATGATGAAACCCCATCTCTACTAAAAATACGAAAATTAGCCAGGCATCGTGGTACGTGCCTGTGGTCCCAGCTACTCAGTAGACGGAGACAGGAGAACTGCTTAAACTGGAGAGGCGGAGGTTGCAGTGAGCTGAGATCACACCATTGCACTCCAGCATGGGCAACAAAAGCAAAACTTTTTTTAAAAAGCCTCTACTTTATCCATCTTCTCATGCCCAGTTGACGCATACAAAATATTCATTAGTTAAATGAATGAATGAAGGTAGGTGAGCAGAACCGACATCTACCCATTCCTTCTGGAGACAAAGTATGTTTGGCCTCTTGTTTGTGTTTAGTCTGTGTCTCAGCACAGACATGAGAGAAGTGACTATAGCCTTTACCATAAGAGGGTGAATGTGACCTTCTGAGAATGTGTGATCAGTGCTTAAGACACCTTCACATTAGCATGTAAATGTGTACACACTATTACGTAGCCACTACGCACAATTCTCAAGACTTAACCATGGCTCCAGGACCATGTGAAGAACCCTGTGTACTGCCCCTCGCAGTTGGATGGCTGCCAGGTTAAATCTAGCCTCTAGCTTTCTTGGGTTATTCTCTCTCTGCATGCTATAGGTGCCTCCCTAAAGGGAAAGAGCAAGATACAGAAAATATAAGCATCAAAGAAAGAAAAGAACATTTAAAGACTTCCTGGTGGCTGTTTATGCCTATGCACTGGGGAGAAAATAACTCGGTCCTACTCTGTAGAATCTCCTTTTTTAATTACAACTTCACCTTTCACATTTGCCTTATTTTGTTATATTCCTTTTCCTAGCAGTCCTCTGGCCCTAGAATAAAAACGTGAGCTGCCTAGTATCTCACCTTTAGCTCTTATGCCTGAGAGGACAAATCCCAGGTCTCACCTGGATACCCTTACCTCCCCACCAAACTTGTTTTACTTTCAGATTTGCCGATCTGCACCTCAAAACTCAAATTTTCATAAACATTAGCTTTTCTGCCTGCTTTTCTGTTGATGCTTTTCCTTTACCCCAGGTAAGACTATATAAACTATAGTATTTCCCTTCCAATCAACTAGCTCCACTCCCCAACTCTTGGACTTCCTTAAGTCCAGGATGTGAAGAAAAATAACTATCAGCAAATTCTATCCATATTTAAAAAAATTCCTTTTTGTCCATGACACAGGTTTAACATGTATTTGCTTGAGGCAATATGTGGTTTTCTGGTTTCAGTTTGTTGATGATTTGTGCTAGTATCTGTGCTGAAGGGAATAACTTAAAGTGCCTCATTTGGTCCTGGATAGCTTGATAACATTCAACAGCCAACATGACAGTTAGGATCAGTAATTCCCAAATCTTAGAATTAAGATTTTATATATACACGTTATCGTTCAGGGATTTA